TTAAACTTGGGTTTCAAGCACTTTACACAAAAGTCATAAACAAACTCTTTACATTCTTCGCACTCCATATATAGGATAAATATTATGGAATGCGGGGTTTGCGCCAAATGTCGTTATGGGTTTTATCCGTGCCTCAAAACTTGAGACGGGTAATCACTGATTTACGATTGCGCTGATACCCCCATTCCCTATACTACTGCACCTGTGTAATTTTTTTTCTTGTCATCATGCAGTCTTCTCGCACACATTTACGGATCGCAGAATCGGATGGCAAATTTCCAGGCAGGGAAACACCATCAAGTAGCAAACGATGCTTTATTTCAGATGTGTATATGCTGGGTTGGCATAATTTTTCTACTTCTACGTATTCTGCTACTTCAGGTATTACTATTTCTCTTGGTGGGCATCGTCGGGATTGGGGAAGCGATGTATTATGCTCGTCGTAATGTCGAACAACTTTGTTCACATATCCAATACTAATACGCATTTCGTCAGCGATTGCTCTTTGTGATAGTCCTTGATGATTCAAGTCAAGAATTCGCTCACGATAAATTTGAGGAAGCTCTTTTCCATTGTCATAAATACCACCTTGATGGTTTATCATGAGTTTACATTTACCTGATGTCAAGAAAACAAGAAAATACTAAACTTGAAATTTATATACTGCATATGGCATCTGCAAAATAAGACGATTATGTTATAGAAATATAGAAAAATGTGAATAAAGATAAGTTTATCATACCGTGAATGTTTGCCGCACCGTAAGCCATTGCTGACAAGATGTTTGAGATTTTCCCGCCGGAGTGAATATGCAAACCTAACAAATCTTATCGTGAAATCAAATCGATCGCAGAAAGAGTTAGAACTCGAAGAGAACAACATATAAATCACACGCCTGGTACGTGTGTAACTTTTTTATTATAATAACACATTTTTCATTATAATAACACATTTTACTCTCAATGCCAGATATTTACCGTTCAAAAAAGTCCCAAAATAATATATCTGTTTTTTTTAGACACTCGATGCTGATTGGATGCCGCCATAATTATGCAGAAAAAAGTCCGAAAAAAGACAAAGAAAAGACCTAAGTGTTCATGGTTCGAGTGTTGTGACTGTAAAAAGAAACTAAAAGATATTTGAAGGATGATAATATATGTAGCTAAATTTTGGATTTGTGCAAACATATCATGACTATTTTTCGACTGGGAATTATAAAATAAATTAAATAGTACGCAMGCTGTGATTGGTTGATAGCCATGTTTGCATGAGGGTATGTAAACACAGTTGTGACGTCACACATTTCGTGTTTTCCAGGTCAAGTTCAAAAATTTACAGTTTCTTTCGAGGAAAAAAATTCCCCCAAAAATGTATTTTGAAGACGAAGTTCCAAATTTTGACTTGTGTCAGGGCCACAGGCATAAACCTATGGTCTCATGCAGGTGTTTCTGATCGTAATATCGATCATGACAATCTCTTGTTGGTCACCGCAAAGAGAATTCCCTCAGGAGCTACAACACACGTCCTTCGTCAGGACAGCTTCGGTTGTTCAGCGA